TTAACACGGCGGCGACTGTGACTCAAAAAATTTCACAACCAACAATACCTGATCTTAATATTGCTGGGGGGGAGGGGGAGGGAGGGGAGGTTGGTGCAGGTTATGAGAGGTTGTTGTTGTTGTTGCTATTGTTGGTGTTGTTGTTGTTGGTCGTGGTGGTGGTGGTGTTTTGCTATTGTTGTTGTTGATGATGCTATTGTTGTTATTATTGTTGTTTGATGGTGATGTTGCAGTTGTTGTTGGTGGTGATGATGGTCATGTTTTTGGTGTTGTTGGTGGTGGTGGTGAAGATGGTGATATTGTTGTTGTTGTTTTGTTGCTGTTGTTGGTGGTGTTGGTGTTGCTATTGATGTTGTTGGTGATGGTGGTATTGCAGTGGTTGTTGTTGGTGATGATGATGATATTGCTGTTGTTAATGTTGCTAGTGTTATTGGTGTCATTGTTAGTGGTGGTGGTAATGTTGTTGTTGGTGACGGTGATGATGATGATGATATTATTGTTGTTGTTGTCGTTGTTATTGTTGTTGCTGCAGATGATGTTATCTTGGCACCCGGTCTGTCTAGATCATTCCCTTTATTACCAAATATCATTATGCTAAAACACGCGTGATGTGATATATTTGTTTCCTGTGGCAACTGCTGATCAAAGATAGGCCTATATCACGGTGAATTAATCAAAGTGTCTCTAGCCATAACACACTTGAATAAATATAGGGGACTTAAATTAATAAGCAAATATACATACAAGTGTATACAATGTCTGTGTGTATTTGTATGTATGTCTATGTGTGTATATGTATATGTATGTGCATGATATCTATGTGCATATGTGTGTGTGTGTGTATGTGCATGCTTTTGTGTGTGCGTATGTGTCTCTGCGTGTGTGCGTATATGTGTGTGTGTGCGTATGTGTCTGTGTGTGTGCGTAAGTGTCTCTGTGTGCGTATGTGTCTCTCTGTGTGTACGTATGTATCTCTGTGTGCATATCTCTGTGCGTTAGCGTATGTGTCTCTGTGTGCATGTGCGTATGTGTCTCTATGTGTGTACACATGCCTTTGCGAGTGTGCGTATGTGTCTGTGTGAGTGTGTGCGTACATGCCTTAGCGAGTGTGCATACGTGTTTTCATAAAATCCACACATAACAACAAGTAAATAATGCAATAACTATAATAATTTCTCACCTGTTATTCCGAGCGAAGATACCACGACCCTGAGCCGAAATTTACATTCTTGTTCTTGAGCGAAAAAAGATCTCTCTCTCTCTCCGTTTTTATTATACTTAATGATTATTCTCTCCCTCTCTCGATTCTGCCTTACTTTCCAATTTTCTTTTTCTTTTTTTCCTTTCTAAATATATCTTTAAGGGGAAGGAAATAAGGGAGGCACTTAAATCACTCGCAGTAATTCTCTGAAATCACTTTTTTTTTTTATTTTTTTTGCTCTTACTTTTCAATACTACTAATAAAAAAAATCCTTTCTGTTTAATTCCTTTTCTATTTTTTTTTCTATTCCCGAAAATAACTGTTTACAATTTCGTCATGCTGTTCTTTAACCACCACGATCTGTAAGAAGAAAAAATATAGATATATATTTATGAATCCAATGAAGCACTAATTTCATTAAAAAAAAAAAGTTTTTTTGTCGAGAGGAAAATAACCATATCTTTTCTTCTTCGGGTTTTCCTCTCTCTTTTCTCTTCTGTTTAAGTTCACAGTAAATCCATCACAAGTTCACTTATTGTCACAGTCACAATCCACAATCACTAAATATCCATCACAAGAACAACAAAGACATAATCGAAGGCGTTTCGTATCTGTTCTGTTTAAAAAAAAAAGTGTTTGCGAGGTGTTTGTCTACCGAGCGGCGCGTAGTAGGCCTTAAGGGCAGGAGGCACAGTATGCGAAGAACGCGAGACATAAATAAACGGGGAACACGTTAAGAAAAAGTAAAAGAAAAAAAAATATATTGGCAAAATTCACGAAAAGAGAGGCGTAAACGTTTTTCTTTTTTTTCTTCTATTTTTAAGGCAACGACCAGTAAGCGTACATCCAGCTTTAAGGCCTCGACGGCAGCAGCAATTGAAAGCAAATGCACGCGGACTGTGCATTCCTCCACACGGGCGTCGATTCTCCTTCACGCTGTCGCCAAGACCCGAGTCGGTAATATATATAATCTTTAAAACCAAAAAATAATTTATGTATATACTCCACATGCGCGAAATTCTCTCTATATTAAAAAAACAACAAATGCGAGTTTAAATGGACTTCAATAGATCTCTCTCTTTGAAAGTAAACTAAAAAATCAAACAATTCGATAAGCGTAATATATAAACGTGCGTTAAGGGAGGGAGGGAGGGAAGGGGGGGGGGAAACAAAACACACCCAAGCGAGTGTTTAAAAGGGAGCTTGTGTGCGTGTGTGTGCGTGTCCTATAGAGGGGGACCTTGTGCTGTGGTGGCTGCGGCGTCGGAGAGGCGTACCTTGCCCCGCTATAGCACCGCG